TAGGACAAAAAGTGGGGGTTAACACAGCCAAAGAGGGGAGATGGATGGACAGGAGGTTTTTCCTCACATCTGGGATGTCTCTCAGATGACATCTGAGGGGTGTCACCGTGGGTGGGTGCAGTGGGAGGACACGGCGTGGTCCTGCCCCTACAGAGGAGGTGGTGGAGCCTCCCCGCTCTCAGCACCCGGGTTTTTGGGGTCGCTTCATAAATAACCTCATCAAAAGCAGGTGATGAGGGGATGGAAAGCACTCCCTTACGTTGTCTGGTTGCCCTTCCTCTCCCTCCAGTGACACCGTTAATTATCTCCTAGGCCCACCCATGGACCCGGACGAGGACTCGGACAACAGTTCAGTTTATGTGCAGGGACTCAATGATAATGTCACCCTGGAGGAGCTGGCAGATTTCTTCAAACAGTGTGGTGTGGTCAAGGTGAGAAGGACCACGGCGAGGTGCAGGTCACCCTCCGGTTGGTAGGGCACGAGGGAAAGGGATTGCCCACCTCCTCCCTGCCTGGTCTCCCTGTAGCCCTTCATCTCCAGGAGCTGGCAGGTCTCTGGCCGGTGGGGTGACCACAGCCTGGTTGGTGGGGTGACCATCACCCTGTAGCTCAAGCTTTCCCAAAAAACTTGTGCAGAGTTTGTCCCTCAACAAGCGTGATCAGGCTCGTGGAAGCACCAGGGCTTCCAGGAGCAGAGGAACCGTGCCTCTGTGGGTCTGCTGCTGGTGGGACCTGTGACATCTTGAGGGGTGAGGGTGGTGGGGAGATGGTGGAGGATGTGGGGAGGCTGCAGGTTGGTTCTCATGCTGCCAGGTGGACACGGGAGGAGCACAGTGCTCTTCTGGGCCACTTCCTTCCTTCCCTCCTGGGGTTCTCTGGCCAGGAGGAGCCACCCATGATAAGCCAGAAGGGCCCTTTCTTCCTTCCCCAAGTCCAAAGCAGAACAAAAGAGAGTAAATCCCAGCTCAGCTTTCGGGGAGACATGACTGGAGGTGACGTTTTTGCTGTCCTGCCAGATGAACAAGAGGACGGGGCAGCCCATGATCAACCTCTACATTGACAAAGAAACCGGCAAACCCAAAGGAGACGCCACCGTGTCGTACGATGACCCGTCCACCGCCAAAACGGCCGTCGAGTGGTTTGATGGTGAGTAGGTGGGGGGTGAGTTGGGATGGAATCGCTTTCTTCTCCATTTCAGAACTAAATTCTCCTCCGACCGGAGCCAGCGTCTCCCTCCTCGGTGCCAGGAGGATCTTTGTCACTTAAGGGTGGCTCCAGGTGACCAGGCTTTTGCCAAGAAGTTCCTGGTTTTAACTAGAACAGAGAAGTGTGGGGCTTGGGTTGTGGTTGTCCTTAGTTGCCCAGGCTCCTGTCACCTGCTGTAGAATCACACAGTCGCTTTGGTTGGAAAGAAACCTTTGAGATCATCGAGTCCCAAGTGTTAACCCAACACTGCCCAAACCCAAAGGTGTCCCTCAGCACCACATCTGCCTGGCTTTTAAATCCCTCCAGGGATGGGGACTCCACCACTGCCCTGGGCAGCCTCTTCCAATGTTTGGCAACCATTTTGGTGAAGAAATTTTTGCTGATTTCCATCCTAAACTTCTCCTGGCTGCCCCATCCCTGGAGGGGTTCAAGGTTGGAGAGGGCTTGGAGCAACCTGGTGTGGTGGGAGGTGTCCCTGCCCAGGGCAGGGGGTGGCACTGGGTGGGGGGGCTTTAAGGTCCCTTCCAACCCAAACCATTCCATGGTTCTATGAACTTGAGACTGTTTCCTCTTGTCCCATCACCTGTTCCTTGGGAGAAGAGACCGATCCCATCACTACACCCTCCTCCCAGGTGGTTGTAGAGAGCGAGAAGGTCTCCCTCGGCCTCCTTTTCCATCCATCCATACCCTGGAGGTGCAGTGTCTCCTGTAGTGAGGATTTATCTCCGTCCCATGGGTGGAATTTTGCCTTTTTTTCCTCTCTTTTGACCCTTGGGTGAAGTTTTCCTGGTGATTGTCGCCGCGGGGCGGCTGTGTGTGGTCCTGGGGGGTCCTGGGGTGTGTGTGGTCCTGGGGGGTGGAGGGGTGGGTGATGGGACACCCCGGGCACCAAGTGAGGTCGTGTCCCTCGTGTCCCCTCCTAGGGAAGGATTTCCAGGGGAACAAGCTCAAAGTGAGCCTGGCGCGGAAGAAGGGCCCCATGAACAGCCTGCGGGGCGGGATGCCCCCCCGGGAGCAGCGGGGGATGCCCCCCCCTCTCCGTGGAGGTAACACACACCCCCCAAAAAGGGCTCAGCCCCCCCTGTGTCCCCCCACCCCGACCCCCTGCTGCGGGCAGCGTCCCCTGGGATTCACAGAGCTTTTCCTTGCAGGTCCAGGGGGACCCGGTGGCCCGGGGGGGCCGGGTGGCCCCAGCGGCCCCATCTCGGCCTCCTTTTCCATCCATCCATACCCTGGAGGTGCAGTGTCTCCTGTAGTGAGGATTTATCTCCGTCCCATGGGTGGAATTTTGCCTTTTTTTCCTCTCTTTTGACCCTTGGGTGAAGTTTTCCTGGTGATTGTCGCCGCGGGGCGGCTGTGTGTGGTCCTGGGGGGTCCTGGGGTGTGTGTGGTCCTGGGGGGTGGAGGGGTGGGTGATGGGACACCCCGGGCACCAAGTGAGGTCGTGTCCCTCGTGTCCCCTCCTAGGGAAGGATTTCCAGGGGAACAAGCTCAAAGTGAGCCTGGCGCGGAAGAAGGGCCCCATGAACAGCCTGCGGGGTGGGATGCCCCCCCGGGAGCAGCGGGGGATGCCCCCCCCTCTCCGTGGAGGTAACACACACCCCCCAAAAAGGGCTCAGCCCCCCCTGTGTCCCCCCACCCCGACCCCCTGCTGCGGGCAGCGTCCCCTGGGATTCACAGAGCTTTTCCTTGCAGGTCCAGGGGGACCCGGTGGCCCGGGGGGGCCGGGTGGCCCCAGCGGCCCCATGGGGCGGATGGGGGGCAGAGGTGGAGAGAGGGGTGGCTTCTCCTCCAGAGGACCCCGGGGGTCCAGGGGAAACCCCTCCGGAGGGAGCGTCCAGCACCGAGCTGGGGACTGGCAGTGTCCCAACCCGTGAGTATCCCTCACCACCTCCCCTGGTGACAACCTTCACCTCCGAGCGTCTTTTCTCCGGGATAAATAGGCTTTTTTCCCCCCAAAATAACTCGCTTGGATCTTCTCAGGAAGTTCCTTCGTCCCATCATGGGGAGCTGGGGAGAGGGAGGGCTGGGGCTGAAGGAGGAGTGGGTAAACTGGGCTGGTGGTGGACCTGCTGACCATCTTTGGTGTCTCTTCTCCTGCCAACCTCTGGCCAAGCGGCGCTTCCAAGCATTTTCCAGCCGGGAATGCCTTCCCAGTCTCTGCCAACTGGTTTTTTTTTTAACACCCAGGGGATGTGGAAACCAGAACTTTGCCTGGAGAACGGGCTGGGGCTGGGTAAACTGGGCTGGTGGTGGACCTGCTGACCATCTTTGGTGTCTCTTCTCCTGCCAACCTCTGGCCAAGCGGCGCTTCCAAGCATTTTCCAGCCGGGAATGCCTTCCCAGTCTCTGCCAACTGGTTTTTTTTTTAACACCCAGGGGATGTGGAAACCAGAACTTTGCCTGGAGAACGGAGTGTAACCAGTGCAAGGCTCCCAAACCAGAAGGGTTTCTCCCCCCGCCTTTCCCCCCTCCAGGTAGGTGTGGGGTGGGTTCACCTTGGGGTGAACCTTGGGCTTCATCCCTCCTTTGGCTGCCAAATGGAAGCCCGGGATGGTTCTTCTGGAGGTTCTCCTTGGGGTTCTCCAGCCAGAGGATGCTGCTTAATGAGGTGTAAGCGCTGCTTTGGGGAACGGAAGGGCCCTTCCGTTCCCCAAAGCAGCGCTTACACCTCATTAAGCAGCATCCTCTGGCTGGAGAACCCCAAGGAGAACCTCCAGAAGAACCATCCCGGGCTTCCATTTGGCAGCCAAAGGAGGGATGAAGCCCAAGGTTCACCCCAAGGTGAACCCACCCCACACCTCGCCCAGGAGGAGAGCGTGGTAGAGGAGGCCCCGGGGGGATGAGAGGAGGGCGAGGAGGTGGCCTCATGGACCGCGGGGGACCCGGTGGCATGTTCAGAGGTGGCCGAGGTGGAGACAGAGGGGGATTCAGAGGAGGCCGGGGAATGGATCGAGGTGGCTACGGAGGAGGCGGCCGGCGAGGAGGAGGAGGAGGAGGAGGAGGAGGCAGGGATGAGGCCGGGGCGGAGGGTGGGGGGAGCTTGACGGGGCCTCTCTGGTGAATTGCTGGTCTACCCAGCACAGGAACGCTCAGGACTTCAAATCGGCTCCAGTCACTTTGAAGCTCCTCTCTCTTAATCTCTCTCTCTCTCTCTTTCCCTCTCTCTCTCTCCGTCTTTTTCCCCCCTTGCATCTATGAATCATTCATGTCTTTTTTTTTTTTTTTTCCCCCCTCAGAGGTTCCTTTAGAGAAAAAAAAAATGAAAAAGAAAAAGAAGAAAAAAAAAAAAGGGAGAAAAAAAAATACCCACGCGCTCACACAAAGCCCTGC